AGTCTAGAAAAGCTTGAAATATTATTCTTTATAAGCAGCAGTCTATCTATGTCTATGTGCATAGATCAGCGTGTTTAGGGAAGAAAATTTATATATTACCTGTTGTATTCGACATTGTTGAATTTTCAACGCACTTTTAACAACTGCTATTCATAATACAAACTCTACTTCGCACAACAACTTGATTGTATCAAACATTGAACCTATATGCTACCCGTTATCGAGATCGCAGATGAGCTATGTTGTTGCTATAGCGGTGAACATTGAAGATGGAGGAGTACGACAGAAAAATAGCACAAATTCCATTATTTACCGTCAGCCATTTTTATTTATTTTGAAACTTAATGATGCCGTTGTTAAGTAATAAAATTAGGCTGGCTTTTTCAAGTAAATTTTTGCGTAAACATTACTTATTTGGAAGAAAACTAATATTGGCTAATCGTAATAACCAGACGACGCAGAAAATATAAGACGCGGAAATAGACCGATAAAGCGTGGATTCATCTGTCAACAGAAGCGACTATACAGATTCAGAATCAGCGGGCAAATGAAATATAGGAAGTCAGTTTTCTACAAAATTAAATTTTTCTCAAAATGATCTATCTCAGAGATTTTTCACCGAAACATTTTTCTTAAAGCCGTTTTGATGTGTTGCTGGCATTTTCCTAACCGAAAATAATCGTCTTTCTCCAGGAAAAATCAATGAACGAACCGATACCCCCATTTAATTGTCCTTTTTTAAGATCAACTAAACTCTTGAGCTTACATTGCTTAGTTTCGCTTTTTTCAAACAAAATTATTTATACATAAATAGCTTTCAAAAAAGCTCCTTCTTCATTTTTTTTCTTCTATCGACCGTTATTACAGATGAAATCGAAACGCCTGTCAAATATCGACGTCTCGACAGAGATCAAGCTGTGGTTCTCTTCGTTGATCATCAAACGGGTCTTTTCTCATTGGTACGTGACTATACTCCAGATGAATTCAAAAATAATCTCTTGGCCCTGGCTGATACTGCAAAACTTTTCAAACTTCCGGTAATTCTAACAACAAGCTCTGAAACGGGACCAAACGGCCCGATAATGCCTGAATTGAAGAACACGTTTCCAGATGCTCCCTACATTGCTCGTCCTGGTCAGATCAATGCCTGGGATAATGCTGATTTCGTCAAAGCTGTGAATGCGACTGGCCGTAAACAGTTGATCATTGCTGGAATTGTGACAGAAGTTTGTGTTGCATTTCCGACTTTGTCTGCTCTGAAAGCTGGCTATGAAGTATTTGTTGCGACAGATTGCAGTGGAACACTCAACGTAGGTATCCGTGATTCTGCGTGGCTAAGAATGAATCGAGCTGGAGCACAGTTATATAACTGGTTTGCCATTGGTTGTGAACTGCAGCGTGATTGGCGTAACGATGGTGAAGATTTCGCTAACTTGCTGGCCAATCATCTGCCTCCATATGCAAATCTGATTGAGAGTCAGAAAGCTACAATTCAAGGTGTTTAAAGAAACTAAATTAGAAAAAGGCAAGCTGATGCTCTAAGAACTTTATTTTTTGGTTGGATTATCATTCGATCATGTTCTCTGTTTTTTCTTCATCATACGTTTTAGCTTCTACATCTCTTTCTGTGCATATTTCGTTCCATTCAGTTTATTCGGGCATTCTTTTTTGTCTTCGTGCAAGTTTCCTTTTCTTAGTGCTTTCGACTTGTGAAAATAAAACAACTTTGAAACAGTGCAAACGTCATCAGAGTCGAGATTTCAGCATGCTTGAAATTTTTTCAAAGCAGAATCCGTGGAAAAAATAATTTTTAAACTGACTCAAACTCAGATGTAAAGATAATTTGTCTATGAACCGGATCAAACTCGGAAAAAGTGTTACATTTCTGTAAAAATCAAAAATGCACATACTATATAAACTAAAAAAGGAAAGATTGCAAGCTTTAAAAAAGTTTCCAGAGACAAAAAAGTTTGAAATACATGACTTCTACTTTTTAACGATGCCAAATATTCGTTTGGGTTTGTTAATCTTCAAATCCGAAGACGCAAAACCATGAAAAGGTGAAACTCAAACTCGGTAGATGCTAGTTGGATGAAACTCGATGAGTACCATTTAGCGACAGGCGAAATGACAACTTTGGATTATCTTGGCAATCTGTATTGTTTTTCCGACCAAAAGTTTCGTAATACCAGGAAAACGTGCTTCCTAAGGGAAGCCGTCAAAATTATGTTCCAAGAAAATGGAGCAAACAAAGCGATCGGAGCAAATGGAGCAATCGTACAATGTAAAGCGCTCCCCTGTGATGTTTGTATAAGAGAGAAAATATATAAAATCTATCTTTTCTTCTCCATTTTATTCCTTTTTTCTATAGATTACTTTTCATTAACTCTTATATATAACACATCAAA